GGATCCTTTAGGGGGTCTGGATTTGCTAGGAGAGCGAATGAGGTCAAGCTTGCCGTCACAGATTTGGCGCTCCATCGGACGATATTGGCTAACCCTTCAGATGGGACCAAACAATCTGTTTGATTCCCACAAGTCTCAAACCTTCACACCCTTCTTATGAGGAGGTCTCTCATTTTTGGAAAACTACACTATGTTGTTATATAATATGGTAAACTGCATGATATTTTTGTGGAAGAAGCCTGCGAAGCCGAAAAGTATGCATGCCTTTTGGAGCAGCGAGTTCGGCAATTGTCCGCACAATCGGGGACATTAAGGATGGGGGGGGCCCTGGGGCCGTTTGCTTGCCCACAGAAGGGACCCTAATTGTGTCAACCACCAAAGCCCAGAAGGCACCAGCGGCACGCCAGTGGGAAGCGAAGCAGCTACCGCAGACAACTGGACCTCGGCAACTTGGTTTTGCTTGTAGGGCTATATATCGCAATCATGGTGGGAGATGTGCCGCATCTCGGAACCTAGACCAGGCTGCCTCCAACCTCACCATGGGAAGTATAGTAGGCGAAGGAATAAGCCTGATCATGACATACCTGCAGCAATGCTGTAATTGATTACCTGAAAACAGGGTTAACAGTCATGAGGATAACAACAAAGTGCCTTGCGACCATAACAACACCCATACCCATACAAGTCACGATAGGTTCAGCATATGTCTGCTGGCTGAGCGATGCACGTTGCCATTGCGACTGGCAGCTTCCACTGCCAGAAGCACAGCGATGGTTACCAGCAGCGATCCATAGCTCTCCAGGAAAGTCATGACTCACACCAGCACTGGCGATGATAGAACTATGAGCGGTAGCAGCTAGTAGAACTCGTATAGGGGAAAAAGTAGAAACGCATGATGAACAGTCAGCTAATACTCCTTGCAGTGAGCTTCGGACTCGGGCGATGAAACTCGATCTGTATCTACGTCAGCTGGTCCGTGAGTGACATGAACCCCAAATGCGGCCTTGGGCACACAAGTAATTCATGTCAGGCGGCTGCAGCCGAGAAACAAGAAAGCCCACGGAGCTACATCTCGTATGAGCCACACCAATCATGGGCGAAAAGTTCCATGTCTCCATCGAGTAAGCCTATTGTGGATGACAGAAAGACGCCCCAAAATACTATAGTCCATATTA